GGGTCGTCTCATCCTCTGTTATATAGTTGACGGTGGCCTCAGGGCTGCGACGCCCCTGTCTTATCAGCCACGGGGGCCGACGGGATCTGTAGGCACGGACTGTCCTGGATACAAAATGGCCGAAAACGCCAGGAGGCCTGGTGGCGTCCAGCAACGTGCAAATGGTCCAATATTCAGCAAACAAGTGGTCCAACATTCCCCCCTAGGTTCAAAGGGTGGGATGAATCGCAGTCTTTGAAGCGCGGGGCGATATTTTCAGTGCCCCCGTTTCCATGAAATTCTGAGACACCGATTGGCCATACATATTTATTCATTGCCCTAGCAGCTGTACACAATTGGCTATTTGGCTGCACCCCTGGGGCACTCTGAACAGTGCCCCATGACAGAAACATACGAGTTTATCTGTGGGAATTCACTGGTGAATGAATATCAGTAGGTGGGAAAATTGGGACCGCGATATAGTTTTGGCCACGTTCCATTTATGGACTTCTTTATTTTGTGGCTAATCACACTGCATTTAGATGTCAGCATACACTGTTCTGCACCAAGTATATATTTTTTTGCTATTACCTTATTACTAAAGTTACAGTGTACCAAAGGCAATTCCATTGTACTTGCAGTGCATAGCATTTAGAGTGTAATGGTCTTGCTAAAGTGTTAGAAGCAAGTACTGAACACATCGACATTTTTTTAAGTGAATATATTTCTTATAAGCCTATAAAAATGAATTTCACACTAAATGTTTGTTTAGCAACCCAATAAAACCAACATACACGATATATATATATACATATATATATATATATATATATGTATATATATATATATATACATATACCTGTGTGTGTGTGTAAGTGGGTCGCGGGGTCAGCAGACTTAGTAGATGCCCCTCTCCCCAGACACCTCCTCCAGTTCCTCCAGGGGGAGCCCATGGCGTTCCCAGGCCATCCGAGAGACATAGTCCCTCCAGCGGGTCCTGGAACACCTCCTGGGGGAGGCGTCCAGGAGGCCTCCAACCCAGATGCCCGAGCCATCTCAACTGACTCTTCACGATGTGGACGAGCAGCGGCTCTACTCTGACCTCCTCCGGGATGGCCAAGCTCCTCACCCTATCTCTAAGGGAGTGCCCTGCCACCCTACGGAGGAAGCTCATTTTAGCCGCTTCTATCCAGGATCTCGTTCTCTTGATCATGACCCAAAGTTCATGCCCTTAGGTGAGGGTAGGAACGTAGACCGATCGGTAAATTAAGAGCTTCTCTTTTCGGCTCAGCTCTCTCTTCACCACAACAGACCGGCACAGCATCCTCATTACTGCAGCAGCCGCACTGATCCATCTGTCTATCTCTATCTCCCACTCCATTCTCCCCTCACTCGTGAACAAGACCCCGAGATACTTGAACTCCTCCACTTGAGCCAGGAGCTCCCTTCCAACCTGAAGAGGGTAAGCCACCCTTTTCTGGTCGAGAACCATGGCCTCGGACTTGGAGGAGCTGAACCCCATCCAAGCCGCTTCACACTCGGCTGCGAACTTCCCCAGTGCATGCTGTAGGTCTTGGCTAGATGGGGGTTAGCAGGAAGATCTGCAAAAAGAAGAGATGACATCCACTGGTCCCAAAACCAGAAACCCTCTGGCCCTTGGCTGTGCCTAGAAATCCTGTCCATGACAATTATGAATAGGACCGGTGACAAAGGCCGGCACTGCCATAGTCCAACATCCACTGGGAACAGGTGGAAGGCGGGAGGCGGGGTACACCCTGGACAGGTTGCCAGTCCATCGCAGGGCAACACACAAACTCATTCATACACCTAAGGGAAATTTAGAGAGACCAATTAAACTAACAGGCATGTCTTTGGACTGTGGGAGGAAGCCAGAGTACCCGGTGAGAACCCACACATGCACGGGGAGAACATGCTAACTCCATGCAGAAAGACCCTCGGCCAGGAGAAGAACCCAGGACCTTCTTGCTGCAAAGCAACAGCGCTACCAACTGCGCCACCGTGCCGCCGATTGTGAGATCAATAATGTCTAAATAAAACCATAAAATTTGTGACTGGAGTCTGATTAAATTCCAGGTCACATGATAAAATGGTCATATCTTTTTAATAGTGTTTGCAAAAATCGGGTTTTCACACAACTACCAGAACTCTTCTTCTTTATGTTCTGAACCACAGGGATGTCATTGTATCTCCAAAGAAACAGATGCATTATGTTCTCTGTCATATTCACTAATTTTCACTGTCTCACAGTTGTTTTGGTTTTATACCAGGGGAACTGAGGAGCCACCTCAGAACATCTTTTTGTTTAAGCAACACTGATATTGCTCTGTTGAAAAATAAAACCACAGTCATGTCACAGTGTAAATTTGTACCTTGGCAAAAATAGCCTTTACCTAAACCAGGAGCTATTAGAGTATATGGCTGAAATCCTCTTTATTGGAAGTTTGACTAGCCATTAGTTATCAAGTTCTCTGTAATTTCTGCCTACTGCAGGTAAAATAGTGACCACTTACAACAACTTCAACGACACCCACTTTAAAATATCCAAACTACCCCTTCAGAGTCTGAATGGTTTGTTATTTGAAAGCTCAGTGAAGCTATATTCTCTTTTCTTGCTAAACTTTAAAATCTGCCACTGTGATACAAATTATTGTAGTGTCAGAAATGTGCCTGGCTGTAAAAAAAACAAACAAAAAAACTTTTATTTTCTTGTCTGAAAACAATTGGTCTAAATTAACTGCAGCAAAAAAAAAAAGTGCAGCAAAAAGCGATTGTAAGAGGATTTCCCCATACCCTGGCACCTTGTATAATACTAAAGGATATGACAACAATATTCACTGTTATAACAGTATCCAGTTCCCAGGTAAAAGAGTGAAAGGAAATGATGGTGGTCCAAGAAGGTCAAAGTCAAGAAAAAACAGAATGGCAGATGCAACTAAACTTAAATGTGCCCTTCAATGCCTACGCTGTTGCCTCAGGCAAAGAGGTATTGGTGGAATGTGACAGCAAGGTGAAGGTGAAGAGAAAAGGCCAGTGAATGGTGTCAGCAGGAAACCAGTCCTCAGGGAGAAGCTATGCTCTATGGGGTAGCTATAGTGTCTAGCAATCAAATGGACCATGACCTGTTTCAAGTACTGTCTGCTGAGTACAAAATTCAGCTTAGAGAATGACCACAGGGCTCTACAATGGTTAGAAAGCATGAAGCTCTTAAAATAACTGTTGCTACTGTCAGTGCAGATACATAGCTTCACATCAAGTCTCGAGTAGTGTTGTTTTACAGCTAGGGCACATGGCTTCTTGTCAAACATACCCTTTAAACCTGCTTACATTCTCACTGGTTCTTCAATCAAGATAGGCTAATTATAAAAAACAGCACTTCATATTGATCTTTCTGCAGGGTGTTGTGGCTTCATGTTGACAATGCAAACTGCATGCTGAGATTAACAGATTTCATTACATAGCACATTGTCTTTTTACCCATACAGATTAAATTTTATCTTCAGTCAGAAGAAATCTTTACCAAACACCAGATGATTATTAGGGCATTTCTCAAAATATTTGATTTTATCTTCACTTTGATGTATAATTCACCTAGCTCTTGTATACAGACTAACAACTGCAATTACTCCTTTGTGTGTGTCCAGCTGTGTGCAAAAAGTTGATGGCCAAAAGAGAATATTCTTACATGTTTTAGTACATGTGCCTTCTCTTGCTGAGCAGTCTGTATGGGTTGGGTTAGATATTGTATGCCAAATAAAAATTAAAAGCTGGCTCTAGAATTAAGTCTGTATCTTTGCCTTGTTTGGGTCACAGTGATGTCAGCTAGAAAAGATTGAGCTCATCTGCACACCCTAAAAGATGGCATAGGGAATTATTAAATTTTCCATACACACCGGAATTAACATGGAACAATTTCTAAATTCAGCACTAGCTTAGTAAAACCAGACACCAGAGTCATAGCTGCTTTAATTATTTTCCTATACAGGACTAAAAGGTAGAATTTTTCAGGGGTCCAATTGATTAAGAAAAAAACACAACGCAAATGCAATACAGTTACTGTATCTTCTCCTTTTGCTGAGAAGAATCAGATCATGTTGATTATGCAGTGTCCAGCAAATATATTTATATATTTTTATTCATTTAACTTCAGATTTTGCCATTTTAGAACCACAAACACCATTTTTTTAAATTGTGTGTGATAAACCAACACAGCAGTGAACTTGTTGTAGTTTAATTCATTTTATTTACTTAGTGCCAATAAACAACAAATGTAATTTTAAGGCATTTTACTAGACAAACATGTATAGTTTAGTACCAGTTATATGAAATCCAAATAGATCCGAATTGAATTTAAAGCAACCATATTGATTCCAGTATGGTCCTGTAATTTAGCCAAATTCAGATCTAGTTAATTACAAACCACATCAATACAACTGATCCATTACATGATCAAATATAGTCAGATTTAATTGATCATACAATAGCAACTGGTATAAAAACATTTAAAGAGGCCCAACCAATTGCCTTGAGTACTGACATTGCAGCAACCCCTCGATCTGAGTAAGCATGTAGCAACACTGGTGAGGAACCACCACCTTTAACACGATGAAACCTCTAGCAGAGCCAGACTTGAGATGAGCAGTTCAGAGAACAGGAAGAAATGAAAGTAAATGAGAGAAATAAAAAAAACTATGCTTGCTATTTAAAATAATGAGGAGGAGTTAATCACAGCATTGTCTCCATTATTGGCTCTGTCTTTGAAAGTGACAACGCTTGTCTCAGAAACAGTTGGCAAGCAGCACTTTTATGAAACAAAGTAAAACAAAAACAGAAAGAGGCAATGAAATGAGTGGCAGCAATTGCATTAAGGAAATGACAGAAGTGTCAGGAAGAAGCAAAGAAACGCTCTAACCCAGGAGTACTTTCAATAGGAAAGAAGAAGAGAGTAAAATGTAATGGCAGCTTTAGTTCCATGAATGACTCTCCCCAACAATGAGAATGAGCTGAACCCTAAAGTACTGGGCTGGGAGAACTTTATGCAATACATTCTATCTATCAGAAGACACAGCGGCATTTTTGATCTAGATTTAACTAAGTACTTCCTAATAAACAATTACAGTAGTGTAGCTTAGAAGCAACAAATGTGTTGGTTGTTTCTTTTACAGTGGATGGAAAATCAACCTTATCCATTATGGGTCTGTATAAGGCCCCATTTCCAAGGTTAGCAATTACTTTGTTCTGTGTAAGGTTCAATTATTGTTTAACCTTTTTACCACCCAGTTCTCTGCTCTTTTCTACTGTAAAACTGGTAACTGGTCTGGACTAATTTCTCAGCTAAAGCCTTTATGAGCATTGTCTGAGCAACAGACTCGCTTAGGCTAGTGGTTTATATTGCTGATGTTTTGCACGAATGGCTTTTAGCTGCATATTTGTGTCAGCTACTGCCTGTTACTTCAATGTGTCTCTTATTAGTCAATGTTGTCCTAAAGATTTTGCAAGTGCCACAGACCATTCATGTTGCTGTTGATAATAATGATTGTTTCTGTATTTTTTTCATTACAAGTACTATGTGATCATTATGACTCACTTCATAATTTTATTCTTCATGGTAGATTAGAATGACATTTATATGCTATTTTATATTTGAGGTTATTATTTTTGCAGCTTTTGAATGCTTCAGTTTTCTGGTTTGTAATCACTGGAGTTCTCAGCTATAATAAACATTGTATTGTCCAAACTATTTTCACCCGTGCTCCCTTTAGATTGGTATTTGAATACTAAGATGTAACTGGTTATGCTTCCATAAGAAGCATATCCACACAAATATATTCACTCATCTACTCAGGTTCTGCAGTGGCTTAAATGGGAATCAGATGAGAGCTGAGACAAACCTGCTCATTGGGACAAAGCCCAGCAGTAACAGGCTCTAAGCACTCATTCAGTTTTAAAAGTGGGTAACAAATTTTGAACAGTTTTACAGCAACCAGTGTTACATTCTAAGCAAAGCAAAGCATTTGAATTTAGAAAGCAATAATCAAATGTACTACAAATTTGATGAGTAAATTCCATGACTATAAATTGGCAGTAAAATTCTCTTGATTCTTGGGTGTTACAAGAGAATTCTGACAGGGACAGCTACTAACTCAGAAGCATTTCTTCAACTAATCCAGTTATCCATGATGAAAATGTTCAATTAACTGCTAGCAGATCCCCTACCTCTGTGTAACAAGCTGATTATCCCTTGCCCACAGCCTTTGCAGTAAATTCCCAGCCAGCTGCAGTAATATTTGCATATTAAAGCAATATTGCTGTGTTGCTTGATTGACATTTCTGTAAATTTGGATCAAAGCTCCTAACTATTTTCTTACTAGCAAAGAAAAAAAATATGGTGTTTATGTTGCAATAACACACTTTTTGAATAATATGCTGTGGAGATGCAGCAGTATAAACACCTTGTGTCTGAGAGACCGTCTTTTGGAGATGCATAAAGTAGTTCTCACCCAAGAGACAAAATAATTTTAGCCAGAGTAGGGAGAGTTCTAAAGAAGATTTTTGACATCTTCACAGAATTACAGTTCTAAAAATTGATAGCAGTTAATGTGAGCTGTATTTTAGTTATATTTGCACTGCCTTACTTTGCATCAAGTGATTACTCTGGAAAGGTATACTTAACATACTAGTCTTTGTTCTGCATGACTAAGGCATTCAGACTGGTAAACACTGCAGGTAAGACAGGTAGGACTAATGTAAAGTAAGGCTATCTCCACAGAGGACTACGTCAACTAAATTAGACATATAACCAGTCCAGTATTTTGTTACTACCAGCCATTGTCAACTTCCTTCCTATTGTAATGGCAAATAAAATATGATATGATTGAAAAATAAATATGATGTCCCTTTTAAAGGAGGGCAGCAATACATTCAGCTCAAGAAACAAGACCACATTTCAACAATAACTAAGAATCCCTTCTTTTTTGTTTTCATCTAAGAGATGGGCTAAATGCAG